CGCATTTTTAAAAAATGTTTAGCATCTAACAAAATCTTCCCCTTTATACGAGTTCAAGGAAGATGATACATTTTTTACCTGACACCAAATTGTTCTACAAATATCAATCTCTAAGAAGATTTCTCCACCTTCTAGAAAAAGCATTTAAAATTCTGTCTTAACTGTCAATGAAGAAACTGAGCCTTTACAGGAGGAAAACAGAGATGCTACCCACAAATTTTGAATCATTTTAATAATTCTATTTTTTGGATAATTCTTTACTCATAAATACATTCTTCTCATATTTAAAATACCTCTGCTTTCTTTCTGCATCGTACACCGTGCAGTTACATAAGCAGTAATTTCCTTGATCGCTTCTACTTTGGGGCGTATCATCCTTAAATTGTGAGCTGATTTACCACCAATATTTGAACGCAGTTCTTAGACATGTCAACAGACCTTCTGTCAAGCAAAGGGTACGAGTAATTCTTAAATAGGAAGGACATACAAGAAACAGAAATTCAAGGTCCCTAAGTTAAAAAGATCAGTTTTTGCATTTTTCCAACTTAGTTCAGCTACCACTTGAATGCAGATACTACCTTGGGTTAAAATGTCAACTTACAACATTTGAATTCCAATTAACTGTAAAATTTCTCCTAGTTACACACTAAAGTAACTCAGAAATGATAGGAGAGTATTTCCTTTAAGAAATAATAAGTCAGAACGTTCACTCTATATTGTGTCCACATTTCTGGGGCACCGTACATTTTTAAATTAAGTATAAAATGAAGATCTGTTTGTACACGGCACAATTCCTTTCTAATTTGCAAAGATTGAAAAGAGAAATTTTGATTTTTATTTGCCTCTTAATTTAGCAAAGAATCATGACGGTTTTCCTCAGCCCTGAAATGTGCGTTGTGGTTGGGTCTAATGAAGACAAATTCCTCTCAATTAGAAGTGTCCCATTCATCGAGCGAGATGGATGGCAGCCTTGCCATACTATTTTGGATCTAGTCTCTTGAAGCTGTCTCCATTATTTAGATATACAGGAAATAGCTGGGATCAATGTTTTGCTGGGGAAAGATGTTATCAGTAAAACAAATGAGGCAACAGCCTCTTAGATTTGGTGTAATGTAGACATATGTTTTTGTTTCATAACTTTTCTAGTTGCTGTCGAGTTGATTCCAACTCATGGTGACCCTGTGTGTGTCAAAGTAAAGCTGTGTCCCATGGAATTTTCAATGGCTGTTTTTTTTTCAGAAGAGATTGCCAGGACTTTCTTCTGAGGTGCCTCAAACCCCAATCTTTCAGTCAGCAGCGAAGTGTGTTAACCATTTGCACTAGACTACATACCTTTATATTAAATGGCAGGTGGAGGGCGAAGATACTGAGGGAAGTACTAATTTAGAGCTTTTCCTATGAGATGTTTCAGAGTTTTCTGATGTACATTGTTCCATACCCTTAGAAAATATAGACTCCTTCGTTATTTTCTAATCTTCCCTACAACTTACCCTGCTTAATTTCTTCTGGCCTTGAAATATGACTGCAAGCAGAAATAAATAAAAGGTAAACTTGAAAGCATCCCCGTTTTTGTGGCTCCACACAGTGGCAGTGCAAGTCACATAAGAAAGGACAAATTATTCTTATAAGGTAGAAGGCATGGCCTGGAGAAGGATTGGACAAGGTTTACAGGCCACAGTGCCAAGGTGGTTCAAAGAGGAGAAAACAGTGGCTCTATTTTCACTTCTACTTTTTCCACTTCTACTTTCAGGTCAGTACTAGAGGCTAATGGCGGGGTGGATGCTCTCTCTTCAGCTTTCCAGGATGACTTCTGAGGGGAGCACTTGAACCTGGAGCTGTAGCATCTCTTAGGATGGCAGCTGAACCCAGGCTAAGAGACGTGTTCACTTTCCCTTCCTCTGACCAGACACACATGGAGAAGCCAAGATTCGGCAAGAACATACTGTAGTGAACATGTCTTTGTAGAAAGCACTACTGGATGATGCCCTGTGCAGAGTGGACTCCCTCACACGGGGCAAAATCTGCAAGAACTGGAAATGCTCGCTCCTAAAGACAGTGACAGTGTTATGCTGGAATTATCCAGATTCTTGAGTAACTGCCGAGTGTTCCTGCGCAACTCTACACTTCTTTTTATCCATTTGTGTTAACTCAACAGAGCTGCTGGAGTGTAGCCAGGAAATGAGAGGCTGAGAGAAGGAAACAGTGAAAAAGGGGTGGTGGGAGCTCTATTTAACTTGTTCCTAACGAGTGGTGAATCTTTCAGAACTTTAGAACAAACATTTTAGATTGCTGGGGTTGGGGGTTAAAACAGTTATAACTTCATTATTTAGTAGAAAAAGATGAAAAACAAAGCACATGTATCATGTGTATCATGCTTGATAAAGTACAGGGTCAGTGAAAAAGAGGAAGACCCTCAACGAGGTGGATTGACACAGTGGCTGCAACAATGGGCTCAAGCATAGCAACAATTGCGAGGATGGACCGGGCAGTGTTTTGTTCTGCTGTACATAGCGTTACTACGTGCCAGAACCCACTCAGTGGCACCTCACAACAACGACACCATAGTAAGTAGTTGCCTATGTTGAATATTCATAGAAAAATCACTGATGTAAAGATTTCTTCCTCAAATTTATCTGCAGTAAGATAAGATCTAGGACTGTGATGCTTGTTTTTGCAGGAAGTGATGAGATCATAGTTTTAAATGTGAATTGTATCCTTCTACCTTACTATTTTTCTATGTTTTTGATGCTTTATTAGCTTTCTCCACAATAATATGTATTTAGTTTTGGAGTTTGAATATAAAAGTTATTTTTTTAATTGAAAAAAATTCAACTTCTAGTCTCATTATTTCAAATCTTTTAAACATAGGAAATTGTTTGCAAACGGGTTTTTAAAAGACAGAAGATTTATTGTCCCCATGAGCTTGTCCCAGCATGTGGGCGTGGGACACCTGCTGTTCTGATGTCACTCAGCAATAACGGCCTCTTAAAACTGAAGCGTGCCTCACAGCTTACAGTGCGTTTTCTCCATCTAAGCCTCACCTCACCCTTATGAGGTAGGTATTATAGTTCTATTTTATAGATGAAGAAAACCTCCAGTGCTGGAATGTTAAATACTGTCCAAGGCCATCGTGATGGAATTGGAGCCCAATGCCAAAGTTTTACCCCCAAGTTCTCTTTCTGTTGCCGCAGCTCTTGGCCCTCTGTACAAAGGCAGGACGCTGAACAGTTCACCACGTCGCCTAGGATTCAGCTCCCTCACGTGCAGAATGAGCGGCTTGCATTGGATGATCTCCAAGGTCCCTGCTAGGTCCTTTTCATTCTGAATTTGGATTTATTCAGTAGGATGAAAAGTGATGGTAGTGAGTGGGATGTGAGCTGACCCAAGGAGCACAAAGAGTTTAAAAAAAAAAAAAAAAAAAAACAGTTGCCATCGAGTCGACTCTGAGTCATGGTAAGCCCATGAGTATCAGAGTAGAACTGTGCTCCGTAGGGTTTTCAATGGCTGATTTTTTGGAAGTGAATTTTCAGGCCTTTTTTCCGAGGAGCCTCTGGGTGGACTCGAACATTTAACCTTTTGGTTAGCAGCCCAGCATGTTAATCATTTACACCACTCAGGGACTCCTGTGAGTAAAATAGGCCCCTGATAAGCCCAGAATGGTGTGATGATCCTGGAGTAAATAGGACAGACTTAGTTGCAGTAAGTTCTGATTCTTAACAGAGTGATGAAATCAATCTATGGACTGAAAAAAGAAAAAAAAAAAAAAAAAGAACCAAAAAACAACCAGACCTCTACACATATACCAAAAATTTGCATATAATTTTAGGTGGTTCATGGCTGACTTCTTAGTGATTCATGGACCAAGTTGAGAACCTCTGTACCAAGGTGTATGCATATGCACAATTTTGTGGTCTACGGGAGGCTTCCCTGTGATTGTTATCCAAAGTGGGCAAAACTTATTTTCATATGGGCAATAGTAACTGAGAGACAGGAGTGGAAAACAAAAATGTGAAGTTTTCAAGACAGGCATTTTTCCATAGAAAATTATTTCCCGTATTATTTTCTTGGTTATTGGGAAGCAGTAGGAAAAGAAAAGTCGATGTAGCACAAATCTAAATATCTTCTTTAGAAGTATTTATAGAGAATTTCACATTATTTTAATGCTCCTTTTGATTATCTTAAGAGCAAACTTCCTGATTGCAGATTTATGGTGGTGATTTCCGTCCCACAAGCCCACAAGCTGTACGCTTTGGTTTGACACGTGTCGGGGTGGGATAAAGAGTGGAAAATATAAATGTCAGAGGTACACTATTCCATCCAAAGGGGAAAGGTGTTTTACTAATCATTTCACTCTCCCTTACGCCCATGATACATATTTTTTCCAGAATACAGGAAGAATAAGATATCATGCAAGAATCTGAAAGCTGAGATTGCCATAATATTATTCTGGGTTCTAGAAAGTCAAGATCAAAAGAGGACTTCTTGTTTGTCTTGTGGCATTGAAAAAATGACGGATATTTAGTCTGAAAGCCAGATCCACCATTTCTACCCATTTATCCGCTGTCACACATCTACCATCACACCTAGTAACCACAGGTAATGTCTGCTAACACAAATGTCATCGGGCCTAGAATAACTGCATCAGTCAGCAATACTGATGTAACTTCTCAACAACACACACTAATATTTCTCTTAGAGTTGACTGTAGAAGGTGGTCACATTTTTTTTTTTTTTTAATTTTGCATGCCTCACATTAAATATTGTTAAAAAATTGATAAACAATTTTTTTTACAATTTACCAGTATTCATATAAGAAGAAAATGACTAAAAAAAATACCCACCCAAGCATCTACAACTCATCTAGCAACAAGGCTAATAATACATAAGTTGTGACCAAAGAACTCCGTGATTCCTGGAAACGCAGGAGACACAGTCCTTCCTCTGGGTGGAAAGTGAGACGTGTCGGATCCACACAGGGCTGGACGATGATGCTTTGCTTCCTAACTCAAGTTCAGCAGCCGCATTTCAGAGTCAATGTCATTACTTATTTCGACCTAAAACAGAAAATATGAATTACTTGAAATAGCTGCAAAATTGAACACTCAGTTTCCTTTCTATTCATCTGGGCTTTTCAATATGCAAAATAGCTTTGGGGTGTGCCTGGTGCTGTCTGTGTCTGTGACTGTCGCGATAGGAAAGCTAAGAACCTGGATCTTTCTGATTTCCAGATTAGGGCAGCGGCAATCAGGCATGCTCTCCTCTATCAGCTTGTCATTACTGCGGTGGTTTGTGTCTTGCTACAATGATGGAAGCTATGCCACCAGTATTTCAAATATCAGCAGGGTCACCCATGTGGTGGTGCACCCAGTGGACCTTCCACACTAAAACAGACTGGGAAGAAAGAGCTGGTGATCTACTTCTGAAATTTAGCCAATGAAAACCTTATGGACAGCAGCACAATATCATCCAATATAGTGCTGGAAGATGAGCTCCCCAGGTTGGAAGGCATCAATGAAGTCAAGCACTTCAGCAATCATAAGGATGGTGTGGGACAAGGCAGTGTTTCATTCTGTTATATATGGGGTCACCATGAGTCAGGTCCAACTTGATGGCCACTAACAACAACAACAAAGATAATCAGGCATAAATATTGGAGTATAGGATTGATGTCCTAGGAGAGAAATGCCAGCCACACAGCAACTGAAGTGTGATGTGGATTTATTTCTATTGGTTGCATTGAGCATAAAGATGATAGTATAGTGTTATGTCTGTATCCTCCAAATTACTAGACATGCCCATAGTCTAATCTTCCTACAGCATTGTGTTGGTTGACTACTCAAGACTTGTCCAAAGTTGGCTTTAATACCACCTAGCCATTGACCTATGTGCCTTATCCCCCTCTCCACTCATTCTTGTATCCAAACATTTGACAAAGACTCTGTGCACATTCCTGATTCTATACTAAGCAGTAAGCCTTTGCTTGGGGTGGGGGGAGGGTAGGCTCTGGCTTATGTATCTTTGCATAATCAACCGCAGCACAGAACTTGCTCCATAACCAGTTGTTGTCAAGTCAATTCTGACTCATGGAGACCCCACTGTAGAACTGTGCTCCATAGGGTTTTCAATGGCTGATTTTTCAGAAGTAGATTGCCAGGTCTTTCTTCTCAGGTACCTCTGGATGAACTTGAACCACCAACCTTTTGGTTAGCAGCCAAGTGTGTTAACCATTTGCACCACCTTGGTACTTAATAAATATTTGTTACGTGTTTTTGCTCTCATTATTTCTCTCATGTCAAAAGTCTGAGCTGATCCAAATCCTCCTCACCTGTGAAAGCTTAGCTGAAACTTCTTCTCCTCTGTGAAGGCTTCCATTTGTGCCTCAGCCAACATTGCTTTCACAGCCTACTAATAGCTACTCGTGCGATTAGCTACACCTCATGTTGAATTAATAGCATCCAACCTCACAATTAATTGTTTTCATGCAGGTATGTAAGTTTTCTCCCTTCAACTAAATTATAGATGTCACATCAGTCAGCATTCTGTCTTACATTATTTTATATCTACATCTAGCAACTTCTCTTCCATTAACTCAGTTAAACGATTCTCTTTATGTCTTGGGATGGCCTTTTTTTAGTCATAATTTGAAATAGTCAAAAAGATTTCCAATTTTTCAGTTTTGATTTTTGGTAGCCACTCTGCTCTCTGTAAATTATCTTCTTTCCTGCACCCCTCAGGAGTCAGAGTCCTCAAGCTCCCCACTCCTCCATCTTCCTATCACATTCTCTGAGATCTTCTCTTTCTATTTCTTTAAGTTCTGAATAAAGCCCAGATGACTACCCCTCTTACACCTCTGCATTTTAACTGAGATTTAATCTGAAAGATAAAGGTATGAGATTCTAATGGTGGAATTTTATAGTTTTACACTATCTTCTAGTTAGCAGGCAGATTCGAAGTCATGAAGTCCAGTCATCCACTCAACACACAGATCTCTTCTAGAGTGGGGACGAGGAAAGAAGAGAAGGTGTTTTGTTTGTCATTAGTGGTATTAGTGAGGGTATGGGGGAACTTCTAGGTACACACTACATTTATCTTTAATGTCAGTTTGGTTTATAGTGAAGAGTTTATGCTTCTGAGCTTTAAAGACATGGATCAGTGAAGTAGTGAAGTAGGCTGAGCCTGCTCCTATGATGCCAGGTGGGAAATCTGGAAGTATTTCTTCAAGCATTGGGAAGTAGGTCTGTGAGGAGTGAGGCTATCCCAGCCATTGTCTCTTTGAAATTAGTAGGAGGTCTAAATGATCTGTCTTTTTCCACTGAGAGGGCTCCCTGGGTGTGCAGATGGTTAAGTGCTGGGCTACTAACCAAAAGATTGGAACTTCCAACCCACCCCAAATTGCCTCAGAAGAAAGGCCTGGTGATCTGCTTCCGAAAGGTCATAGCAGTTCTACTCTGACACACATGGGTCCCAATGAGTAGGAGTTGACTCGATGGCAACTGGTTTGGTTTTGGTTTTTCCCACTGAGAAGAGCATCTGACTCGATTCCCTTTGGACTGCTCCACTGTTTTCAAAGAAGACAGTGAAGAAACTTTGAGAGGAAGCATTGAAAGGAAAGCTTATCGGCAATCTTGCTTTAGGTTTTATTAACAGGTTGATTTTTTAAAAAATAAAACATACTCAAAAGTAGATAGAATAGTATTATGAACCTCTTCACCCAGCTTCAATTAAAATAAAAATTACCCTCATCAAATTTCATCAATCCAACTTTTTTTTTTTTTTTTTGGCTAGAGCAATTTAAAGCAAATCGCAGACATCATGTCATTGACCAACACATCTCTATGCATCTCCAACCCACTGGTTCTTAACCAGGGGACAATTGGCATCACATCCAGATGCACATAATGTTTGGCTGTCCCACTTTTAGTGACTCTATTGGTAGAACAGGTTGAGTTTTGGGATACTTAGGATCATATGGTTTCTTTTGCAGATGTTTGTAGACATGTTAGTTGTTACTTGTGAGTGCCTGAATGAAATCAAGCAATAAGATAATGGTGTTATTTGAAATTATGTCTTCTGATAGGCTTGTAAGTGTGTCTGACACCTACTATGAATGTCCACAGAGAACAGACAAAATATAGAATTTTACATAGCTCTGCAACCCTCATCTAGATAAATATGAATGAGTGTAAGCTAATTAAGTACGAAAGGAAACAGGATAAAGACAGAGTTATCATTTTGTGTCTTTTTCTGTATCACTTCTGGGGTGTGTATGTGTGTTTACTTTCTTCTCTGTATTGTATGTTCTTTTCTATGTTTTATTTCTTCCCAGAAGCTGTCATAACATGGGGATTATAAATATTTTTTTATGGAAGTATAAAATGAAAAATACGTATTTAACATAAAATGTGATTTATGTTCTTTGCCTTTAATTTTAAAATCAGAAGATACCAGCTCTTGGAAAAACAGCAAAATGTTTATATTTTTACTTATGTTGCTTTTAATTAATTTTTTGGGGGGTCAGTGGACTACATGGCCACACAACTGCATAAGTGTATTTTCTTGCCGTTGACATCATTGACAGGTACAGAGAAAAGTCCTGGGAATTCTGGGAAGGACAGAAATTGACAGCTTCCTTGGAGGGCATCGTTCAGATACAGGCTTTCTCATTTTGGAAAAGGCTTCATACGTTTCATGAGACAGAATAAGAACCTGATTCCACAAGGTTCTGGGGCCAGTGAGTGAGGCCACAAGTCAAAAGAGAAGGTCTGCATGTCCCCAGTGAGGCAGAGGGCAGATGTCTGCCCTTGTGTGCGGCCAGCTGTCCTTTCAGTCCTAACAAGGAAAGTGGTACATGAACTGACTAGTACAGTAATGCATCTAAACCACATGAGCTATATCAACACAGCCATTTCATTGCTACATGGTCAAATGGGTACACAGTAGGATTTTTTTTTATTGTAGTCCCTGAAATGGTAGGACAATTTCTTATGAATGGATCCCAAAGTTATTAATGGCAGTGACAAAAGGAGAGATCTCCAAAGCTAGGGAGAGAAATAAGCCCTAAGTGCTGATACCTTTGTGCTAAGTAAGTCAGAGATGCAGGGAAGCACGTCTCTCCTTGGAGACAACTAAGAAGCCCTTGAGTGCTTTAAATTTCTCCTGCTCTGCACTCTTGAGATGCCCCAAGGGCTAATGCCTCCGTAAGTGCCTGCTGTTTCAAGAGACTGATGGAGGCTCCCAGGGGAATGAAACTCCATGCTCAGTGATGGGAACAGTGTACCAACCATCACTATGAGCAGATTACACTTACCTTACTCAGGGTGCCCACAGGGGACAAACAAAATGCAGAACTTTATATAGCTCGGCACTCCCTATCTCTAGATAAATATGGACGTGTGAAAACCAATCAAGGAAAATGGAAAATGGCAGAGAGTTATTATTTTATTAGTCTTTAGGTGCTTGGCCAAGAAATGGTGGTGTGATGGGGTAAATGTGGTTTGTAGCCTCGAGGCTACTCCTGCAGTTGCAGTTAGCTAATGCGTCCCTGGTGGTTGTTGGCGTTTAAATCAGGGTTTGAAAGCACTTCATTTTCACCTCTCTACCTCCACCACCACATTGTATGGACACGTGTTTAAATGTACGCACACACACACACACTCATACACAGTAGGCTAGTTTGTCCTTCTAGCTAGCTGGTTCTTATTCTAGACCTGTAAATGCAAAATAGCCTGGCAGCGGCTTATGAGGATACTGATACAGAACAGCTGTTCTCAGAGAGAGCAAGTAGGCTTCACCGCCTCTGCCTCTATCCAACAGCGTAGCCATCAGAGGTCAGTTTCCTTTGGGCCTGGACTGTTAGGGGTGGAGAGCAGACAGTGAGAACATGAGAGAGGGCTGCAGCTGCATGAAGGAGTCAGTTGGAAATGGGGGTGTCTTAGTTATCTAGTGCTGCTACAACAGAAATACCACAAGTAGATGGCTTTAGCAAAGAGAAATTTATTCTCTCACAGTCTAAGAGACTAGAAGTCCAAATTCAGGGTGCTAGCTCTAGGGGAAG